ATGATAAAAGAAATATATTCCGTCTAGATAACAGACTGTCCTCATTAACAATGCGAAGTAAATCAGCATGATCATGATGCCTTATAGGATAGTAACCAAAGGTCTTGAAATACATAAATTTACAAAATTTCCTATTAACCAATTCAAGTGCATCTATATAGATTTGATGATGAGGTGTCCAGATAATACAACAATACTCCAACTTTGAACGCACAAGTGCATAGAAAAGAATTCTAATGCATGATAAGTTATCAATTTCTCTGGCAATTCTAAAAATAAAACCTAAAGTTTTCAACGTGGTATTTATCAATTGCAATATTTGAGGCACAAAAGTTAATTCATTGTCGATGATAATACCTAAGTCTGACAATTGATCAACCTGGATTAGTACCCTACCATTTATATTATAATAAAAATAAATATGATTTTTCTTCCTAGAAAATTTTAGAACCCTACACTTATCTTTGTTAACCTCCAAACAGTTTCTTTTACACCAATAAATGAAATTATCTAAGTCCTGTTGCAGTTCAAGACAATCATCATATGAATTAATGACTTTAGCAATTTTTTTATCATCAGCATACAGATATGCATGAGAAATAATGTAATCTAACACATCATTAAAGAACAAAATGAACAATAGCGGTCCTAAATTCGAACCCTCTGCCACACCTGAATGAGCACAAAAACTCCCTGACACAAAACCCTTATATTCTACATATTGCAACATAAGTTTTTTTAATAGAATGCAGTGGTGAACCTTATCAAATGCCTTCGACAGATCTGTATATATAACGTCAACTTCATTACCTTTATCTAATTCTTGTGAAATAAAATTAGTAAATTCACACAAATTTGTTGCTGTCGATTTTCTCTTAACAAATCCATGTTGCCCAGGCATAATCATATTATTGACATGAGAGTATATGATATTGCTCAACATGGATTCATATAACTTAGCGAAATTTGATAAAATTGCTATCGGCCTATAATTTTTTACGCACCCTTTGTCCCCAGATTTAAAAATAGGACACACTCTCGATTGCTTCCACACTACAGGATATTCTGACTTCAGTGCAATTAGGTTGAATATTCGCGCTAACGGAGCCGCAAAACTTCTTATACAATCGACAACAATGAAGGCCGGAATATTGTCAAGACCACTAACACTGTTACTCTTTAGTTTTTTACCCGCTCTAACTATCATATCTTCATCAATCTTAAAGTTGTGCATCATGTTAACACCACCACAGTCCTTTAAATCGTACTCAAGCGAAGGACAACAAGACAACTTACAAAATTCACACTGTTCACTTACGTCCTTGCCTACACAGACATCTTCACATACATGTTTTACATAAACACCCGCAAAAAACTGAGAAAAACATTGACAATTGCTTGAGAAGATGAAAATTCTTGATCTTCATGTACTACAACTCCTGGTATGCTGGTTGTTCTTTTCTTGGAGTTTACAAAAGACCAAAACGTTTTGGGATCATTTAATATAGAATTTTGTGTATTACGCAGGAAGATCTCATAATTATTACGAATATCACGTTTAATTTGTTGTCTTAAGCATCTAAGATTTTCCAAGATGTGGGGAGATTTAGTTTTCCGATATTTATTCCAATAATGTTTTTTCAATTTTATATTGTCAATTATCGTTTTAGTAAACCAAACAGGATATGTATTGGTCAAGTTTGAGAACTTACAAGTCGGAACATGCTTCGAGAAGATTTTATATAAAATATCGTATAGATAATCGCATGCTAAGTTCACATTGTTAATGTTATTTATTACGGTCCAGTCAATAGCTGCGATTTCAGCATACAATTGAGGAAAATTGGCTTTTTTAAAATTAAACCTAATGTTTGTGTCCGTTACCTTCAAAGAACGTGTTGTTTGGCTTAACACTCTCTATAAAAATTCTCAGACATGGATGATGCACATCTTCTTGTAGAAGTGGTAATGGTTCCCTAATTACTTCATTATTCAATTGATTATTTGATAAGACCAGATCTAGTAACCTATTGTTTACATTCACAATTGCATTACTCTGTTTTAAGTCATTTAATGTTATGAAATTATTATAAGTATTGTAAAAACCAGTTGTTCTATTTCCAAGCGTACACTCATTCAGTTCTGGAATGTTAAAATCTCCCAATATTAATACAGGATGGGTAAAGTCTACAGTATTTTCAATATAATCAAAAATTTCAGCATAATCATTAATTAAACATGTAGGTGGTATGTACAAATTAATTATAGTTATCCAAAAGAATTTGTCTTCTGTTATCTTCACAGCCACAAGATCAATTTCAGGTATAGGACTAATTAGGTGGATTTGCTGGACAAAAAATTTTGTATGCAACGCTAATAACACGCCACCTCCACGCCTACCAGTTGTCCTATCTGATCGAAAAACATTGTGCGTAATTAGAAATAGTTCAGCTGAGAAAACATTAAGCCATGTTTCTGATAGCGCAATAATATTGACATCAATTGCACATACATTAAGATAAGTTTCAATTACTTTGGTATTGAGTCCTCTTACATTCTGGTATATTAAACTAATAGGTCTATATATTGATTCTTGATTCAGTTTTTTGATTTATTGTTCAACGCTACAATTTGAGGAACGCCACGAACATATTTTATTGTAATGTCTGTCTCATCTTTTGATTTTCTTTCATTTAGTTCGTCACGTATTTTTCTCATTTTTTCACGTTGCAACGGCGTAAGGTCATTATTGATTTTAACACCATTTTTACATAGGGATCTCTTCTTTAGGATTTCTACAGCAGCATAAGCTTCATTGCAAATAATTTTTAATGGTCGTGGCCTTAAACCGTCACCTCTCCTACCCAGCCTTATTGCTCTGCTAAATTCAATATTGACCTTTAGATCATCATTCAAAATTGTCGAAATTCTGTCTCGATCCTGTTGAATTCTGGTGTTCGTATCAGCAGAAACAGGTTCTGGAATATTATATACAATAACATTTTTGGATCTAATGATTCTATCCTGAACTTCATTAGATATAATATCCACATAAAAATTAGTGTGATTAGTTACCCTAACATTAGCATTGATGAACTGATCAATTTGCATTTGCATATTTTTAATCATTTTAGTTAACTTCGGTAAAAGGGACATGGAGTCGTCACACTTTTTGCAGAAAAAACGCATTTTCCGATTTTTTAGATCTAGGGCTGCTACTTCCGTCGCTGATAAATCAGCACAGTCCTTACAATAAGTTTCCTTACAAGCATCACATCTAAATATTCTAATATTTTTGTTTTTACAATTTATACACGTACCCATTATTAGTAAAGAAATATAATCTGAAAAACCTTTATCTGAGCACTGATAAGTTCTTTCACCGTACTTATAAGATAAATGCAAATAACTAAATAGCACCTTTATGTAGTAATACAATAAGGAATTATTAATTAAACATACGACGTTATTATGTCAGGTGCTAAAATTACACCTTTCTCCGTTAGGAACAACGCTTCTCCAACTCAAAATACCCAAAAATCCACCAATTCTAAAGCCAACTCAGCACAATACACTAAAATGCAGGAGAGTTCTGCAAAACACAACCGCACGGATCGCTTACTCACTATCACTCAGTTAAAAATAAGCCAATAAAATTCAAAAGTGGAAGTGGGTGGGGTTAGTTTTACAGTTTTTTCCAGATACCACTATTTATAAATATAAAAACAGGGTGGGTGGGTGGGGCCACGTTCTAGTTTTTTAAGCATAGGTTCGACTACTTGACAATAAAATTCAGTCTTCATCTCACAGTAAATAAAATAAGCCAATGAGATTCAAAAGCGGAGGAAGGTGGGGTCAGTTTCAGATTTTTTGTCTAGATTCCACTATTTATCAATGCAGAAACCAACGTCCTTTTTTCCTGCAATAAAATGAATGACGAAAATAAAATATGATGGGTGGGTGGAGCCATAGTAAATATTCCCTCGTGTATTTATTACAAGTCTCGTCCATAATGTGTATTTTTTAATAACCACTATTTCTAAGAGCCATTGTCTTATTTAGAGTCAAATAAATCCAACTCAGCAAGATCACATTACATCAACTCAGAAATATTAATTTGTGCTGTGTGATGTTCCTTCAGAACAAGTCGTGTTTGCATTAGAGTAAAAATAGAGATAAAATAAAATTTTCGTTGGTAGATAGATATCTAAGTCGAACAAAATCACGCACTCTTACAAGTCCATCTGTTCGGTAAACGGACTATAGCGTTTCGAATAATCATAATGATTACCAAAAACAGCTTCACAAAGAGATAATTTTACAATTAGAAACCGAATTAAACCGCTGGTAATTGATTTTCACATTGTAGCTAAATTTCAATGGTGCATATTCACTCTTGTTTAGTTAAGAGATTTTCAACCATAAACCAGATCGAAAATGCCTGGTAATGTATTCGAAATCAACTGTGCATGTGATTTGGTAGCATTTTATGGACACAAATATGTCGAGTGGGAGCTGAAACACATTTGACATGTTTGCCTGATGCGTGAACAATGGTTTGTTTTAGCCACTATTGATTTATTTAAACACAAGTTTAAAGCTTGGACAGCTTCAAAAACAAATGGATGTTGCACCGGATATAACTGAAAACACACTGTAATCGTGTTTTTTGGCTAGAATACATTTTGCAGCTGTGTAACTAACTTTCAATTTGTCTCTACTAGCACATATTACAAATAAGTTATCTGGAACGATGAGTAAAGTCCATATTTCTGGTTCTGTGCACAGAAAGCAAAGTTGCAAGTCGGCAGATTCCTGTTTTATCGACCAAATAACTTAATGTGTTTGTGTTCGTCGTGGATGATACCTTCGTGCTCGACTGCATTATTATTAAAAAGACAAAATGGTGGAGCAATAAATTCTCCACCATTGTTATCGATTGCACGAGTCCTCGAGAGGAAAAATCGAAAAATAGATTATCTTATTTTATGTCTGCCTACCTTTTTCCCGTTAAGCAACCAGGTGATATTGACTGGTGGATAAGAAGGAGGTGACGTACAGTTTCCACGGACTGTATAACCCATTTCTAATAGATCTTTTTCGAACGTCATGACGGGGTCTTCCTCTGGGACGTCTGCAAAGGGAGGAACACATTAACTTAGGGTTTAAAGTGCCAAAAGGGATAGACCTGGATTTAACCCTGTGTCGAACAATTTAGTTGCTATGGTTTTTTAACACAAAGGGGTGATTAATTACAGCGTCCAAACTGGGTAACTTTTTTTAATAAAAGCGTAATGAATTATGCGCACTTTCAAAATGAGTCGGGACGATAGAGTTTCGTTTTTTTGCGAGTATGTGAAATATGCCTCGACTTGGCTGTGTTTTAATTACCTGCGATTGTGCTGTGCAAAGAGCACGAAGAAATTAATTTCGTCAAAGGAAAAGGCGCATTCAATCTCACACCAGAACACTTTTTACATTTTTTGCGAAAGTGAAAGCTATTGAAGCCTTTAAATTATCTCTTCGGCGGAAAGACAGAAGTTGCGAAAGATACTCTAATAAATTCCCTCACTAAGCAGTGGTGCAAAACACATAAATTCTATTAATTTCTACAAGGCTCAATGGTGGAATTGTTGACCTGAAAACTTTCTATTTAAGCCAGTGGAGTGGTGTGGAGGAATATTGAAAGGAAGCCACTTTAGGGCAACTAATAACAAATGGTGGCGCTTCCAGCTTGACAGGCTGATGCTTTCAGACAGGTTACCCATATCTCAGTGGCAGTCATTACTCATGGGGTTATGCGACATAGGGACGGTGTCAGTTTATGTTATTCCAGGGTAAGATTCTAACCCCGGATTATTAGCACTCAATCTCGAGAGTTCGGTCCCCGCAGTGCGCAGCGCCACTATTGTGAAGAAAACCCGTCACGATGATTTAATGAAACCTGAACCCCCACGCAGCAGTTTTCGCAAAGTAGACCGGGTGTGCGCCAAGGATCCGCCTTAAGCGCATTATCTTTTTAAACTTTCATTAATGATGTTCGCACAGTGAATTCCATTTAGTACGTCTTACGCACCACCCCTGCTCTAAAAATTCAGTTATTGTGGCCCTTTCGGCTCCCACGACCCTCTCTTCCACGTATTTGTAAATAGTGTATGGATTTTCCGGCCGGCGCCGCTCTTTGACGAATGAAATGGCACAACCGAATTGAATACATGTAAAAGTGCGTAAAAAAAGCAACGTGATAAAGATTTATTCGTTGTGTGCAGGGGCCGATCCATCAAGTCGGCCTGGTTGATTAGTCGGTCGGCCAGGGACGGAGAAGTGGGAAGCTTAATAGGGCCTGTGCCATAAGTTCGACCGCGATAGGGCGTAGATTGGCTCAAAGGATAGAGAGACCCGGATTATGGGATGGAAATTGTAACATATAACACTGCCACGGATCCGGAGTGGAAAGCGTGTAAAAAGCACATAAAGTAGGACATGCTGAGGAAATTAACCCATTCAACTTGCTCTTGCGCTCCACCAAATCTGATGAAATGTCTAATTTTGTCTTGATTTTAACGCTCCTGTTTGGGGTTTTGTCTACTAGTTTCGATTGATTCTCGGGAGAGGACGTTGTTGCTGCTTTTTCTTTCAAAGTTTTACCAGTTTCAGATTTCGCTTTTCAGAAAATTGACACAAATTCATAAAAGTACGGTTCTCATTTGGTGCCAAGATTGAATTTCTGACAAGCTTTTTCGTCGTTTTCTTTCTCTGTTTTTCGTTTATGTCGATTAACTCTTCTCTGTTCTCTTTTCATTTTTTGTATTTTCACACCTTTTTTTGCCGCTTTGGTTGTTTGTCACGTAAGAATGTAGAAACAACACTGACAAACGTATTACCAAAAAACCCATAGAAGATTTAACACCTGCTAAAGCCCACAGTTACCAATTGTTTCTAAATAGAAGATCTATGAAGAACATATATATAATATATATTACAAAGAAGAATAACAATAAAAGTAGGATAGCAGAAAAACATGAAAAAACGGCTAAGAAAAAAAACAAACAAAAATAACGCAAAGAAACAAACTTGAAAGACGATGAAAATAAGAGAGAGAGAGAGACAGATAAAACAGAGAAAAATGGAGAAAATTATCCAAAAAACCCAATATACAAATTTAGATTGTCATCTGTGCGGGATTTATGTGAAATATACACGGTGAGTCATAAATGCGATGTCTCAATAAATATTTGAGATAGAAAAAATTAAAGACCAAAGTTATATGGTTCTTTGAGTTTCTTGAACTAAAATTATTACATATCACTTTTTTTAAGTAGAACATACTTTATATTTTTACATAAGTATTATGCGGTGTTGCCAAGTTATTCCAAATTTTTTCAAAATTTTAACAATGAAGGGGTTCCAAGAAATTGAGTCTTACTATGCCGAGTGTTTAAAAAGATAATTAGAACAGTACAGTTTTTAAATATCGATATTTCAGTTTTCCAAATAGAACAGCCTGTGTTTTATTACTGCATCTTAGTCTATTTTGTATTCTCCTTCTTTCGATTTGTTTTGTCGGTGTGTTTCTTGAAAGAGTGAAAAATCACAGAAAACGAACAGAAAAAAGACAAAAAATTAAAACTACAGTGACACACAATAATAAAATTGAAAAAACCGCATTTCAAAATTGTAATATTTTTATTTACTTTCACAACATTTTATTTTCAAACTAGCCTTATTGTGACTTTTTTGTGAACCATTCGATTGCTAAAAAATTGCATGAAAAGTGGAAATAAGTGGCAACATCATATCGAAATTAAAAAAACAACTACGTCTTTCAAGCCTTGAAAACAGTCAGTGAGAATTTTTAAAATGATATAGAGTGTTGTATTTAAAAAAATAAGTTGTGTTATGCCTGACAGAGAACACTGTATAGTTGAAAATAATTTTAGTGTAGAGCCACACAACTTTAGCCTGTATTTTTTTTTCCAATTTTCAATATATTAGCACTCAATTAGCAATAATTTTAATGACCTGGTGTTACTATCTAGTGGTGTTTAATTTATTATATAGTAGATCATATGTATATATTTATAGAGTTAATTCTAATTTGTTTCTTTTAAAAATTGTTATTTAATTTGTTTCTTTTAAAAATTGTTATTTATTTTTATAAAATTATGTTCGATGTATTTACTAGCTTCTTCTGACGCGTGTAAAATCTTTTAGTAGCACAAACAAAGATTTATTTATTTATTTATTTATTTATTTATAATACTTCATAATATATCGAGGAATGCGCATTTAATGAGTCACCATTCTCGGGGGCCGCAAATGTAATTTTTAAAAATGTGAATCCTTCTCGGGGATCCCAATTGTATTTTTTTAAAATGTAAAACCTTCTCGGGGGTCCCAAATGTCTTTTTTTAAAAATGTAAAACCTTCTCGGGGACGCCAAATGTCTTTTTTTTAATGTAAAACCTTCTCGGGGGCCCCAAATGTAATTTTTAAAAATGTGAAACATTCTCGGGGATCCCAATAGTTTTTTTTAAATATGTGAAACCTTCTCAGGGACAGCAAAATGTAATTTTTAAAAATGTGAATCCTTTTCTGGGATCCTAACTGTATTTTTTTGAAATGTAAAACCTTCTCGGGGGTCACAAATGTCTTTTTTTAAAAATGTAAAAACCTTCTCGGGGGCGCCAAATGTTTTTTTTTAATGTAAAACCTTCTCGGGGGCCCCAAATGTAATTTTTAAAAATGTGAAACCTTCTCGGTGATCCCAATAGTTTTTTTTTAAATATGTAAAACCTTCTCGGGGGCCGCAAATGTAATTTTTAAAAATGTGAATCCTTCTCGGGGATCCTAACTGTATTTTTTTTAAATGTAAAACCTTCTCGGGGGTCTCAAATGTCTTTTTTTTTAATATAAAAACATTCTCGGGGGCCCCAAATGTAATTTTTAAAAACGGGAAACCTTCGGGGGGATCCCAAATTTAATTTTTAAAAATGTGAAACCTTCTCGGGGGTCCCAGGGCCCCAAGTGTCTTTTTTAACAATGTAAAACCTTCTCGGGGGTCTCAAATATCTTTTTAAAGAATGTGAAACCTTCTCGGGGGCGACAAGTGTTTTTTTTTTAATGTGAGTCCTTCTCGGGAATTCCAATTGTATTTTTTTTTTATGTGAAACCTTCTCGGGGGTACCAAATGTATTTTTTTTAATGTAAAACCTTCTCGGGGGCGTCAAATGTTTTTTTTATTGTAAAACCTTCTCGGGGATCCCAATTGTATTTTTTTTTTAAATGTTAAACCTTCTCGGGGGTCCCAAATGTATATTTTTAAAAATGTAAAACCTTCTCGGGGGGCGCAAATGTAATTTTTAAAAATGTGAAACCTTCTCGGGGGTCCCAAGTGTTTTTTTTAACAATGTAAAACCTTCTTGGGGGTCCCAAATGTCTTTTTTAAGAATGTGAAACCTTCTCGGGGGTCCCAAGTGACTTTTTTAACAATGTAAAATCTTCTCGGGGGCGCCAAGTGTTTTCTTATATGTGAATCCTTCTCGGGGATCCCAATTGTATTTTTTTTTAATGTAAAACCTTCTCGGGGTCCCAAATGTATTTTTTTAAAAATGTAAAACCTTCTCGGGGGCGGCAAATGTTTTTTTTTAATGTAAAACCTTCTCGGGGGCCCCAAATGTAATTTTTAAAAATGTGAAACCTGCTCGGCCATCCCCTACTGTCTTTTTTAACAATGTAAAATCTTCTTTTTCCGTCGAAATAAATTTGTGCGATTTTTTTTTAATGAAATCTGCATGACTAAGGTAAAATCTAAGCAGAATTCATAAACCACAAGTATATAAGTAAGTATGTTATTTTATAAAATTTAAATAACATTTACCATGCAAAATTTTGATTAGCATTATGTGTTCAATCAAAATCGAGACACACGACACACAAATGGAAACGGACCTAATTTTTTATACTCTAAAGGTGACGAGGTGAATTACAAAGAAGAAAAGTGAAAAATTATATGAAATGATCTAAGACACAATGTAGATGAAAACGGTCAAGACAGAACACATGAAGAAAATCTAACATAAAGAGAAGTAGAGGTTGAAACAAACAAACTTCCGCTGAAGATTAGTGTCAAGGCGATCACATAAAACGCGAAAAGAGCATAAGCAGTATTGAAAGACTAAATGAGGAAAATGTATAGAACGAGAGTGGAGGAACTGCAAGAAAGATTTTTAATAAAAAATAATAAATAGAATGTCCAATTTGTTTTCCATAAACTTTTGATTACTCTTTAACATTATATTTATTTTACTCTTGGGGAATTCGGTGTACTTTTGACGAATTAACAACAACGTAACAAAATATAATTGTAATGCTTTTTGATGTTTTTATGTCACAATTTTTGTCATTTCTAAAACGTTCACAGCTAACAATTTTAAATTATTTTCAAGATAACTTTGTCAAAGCATTTGTTAATATTTTCACCAAACCACCACGTGAAAATATTTCCATAAAATTTAGTTTTCCTTGGTTCGTTCAGCTTCTTACACAGATCACACAAAACTTCTTTATGCGACGTATCCACAACGTAGTCCTTTTTCCACTCAAAGTACTTCAAGTACTCCTCAGGACGTTCATCCAAGTACTTAATATAATCCGTCAAATTCTTCACCGACTCAAAATCCAAAACATTGATCACTGATTTCGGTGGCGCAAGTACATCATAGTTGGCACCACCAAACACAATCGGTACTATATTCCTCTTCAAAACATTATACATTTTCTCTGTGACGTAATCTTCCAAACCGAGTTTTCGAAAGACAGATAAAACTTGTACTGTTTTTCCATCATGTCGTAACATTCGCTTTTGTTTTCCACCGAACAAGTCAAGTTACCGCACGATCCGTAGACATCCACAGGTACCACTTTCCTAATCCGCTCGACAAGATTGTCTCTTTGGCTGCTGACTTGACAGTGAGACACAAACCAGGCGATTTTTTTCTTCCTGTTTCGAATTTCCGTGGCTGGTGGTACCTTATATCCGGTGTTCTGTTTTCGGTAGACGCCGTACCGACGTACCACATCTGAGTCGGACCGATATGTCATCGTCCAGTTATAAAAACCATTATTGTAGCGTATTAGTGGAGATGTTAGATCTGGAGATTCTAAAATAGCGAAAATGTACACCTGGTTAGGGTTGCGCTTTTGTGGTTTGTCGTACCGGGAGGTGTTGTAGTCGAGTCCGTGGAAAATAAGTGCATCGAATTGGTCAACCGGAAGGTGGTTCCTGTCGTAGGTTGCGTTACAGTTGTGGTATTGACAGTGTGCGAAAATTGTTTGGCCGACACCTAAGTAGTGGTCCTGTTGTTTATACATGGGGGACCAGTAGAGAATTGTTTTGATGGAACTGTTGGTTCGCCATATTTTTATCGTAGTGTTCAAAAAACTTGAAGGAATATTTTTATAACCTAAAATTAGTAACACACTTAGTGCAAATATTGCAAGATATTTGAAGTATTGGTGTATGTTGACATTAATGTGGTACATTTCGAACTAACCGGACGTAAAGTTCCTGATTAGTAAAATATCTGCTATTTATACGTCAGACTTCAGAGATATAATAATGCATATCTACGACTGCAAACAGTGGTTTCATAAAGTTATAAATAGGTCGGTAAATCCAGTTTAAACTGTTAAAAATGCATTTTGACGAGTTTTGATTTTAATATGTTTTTTTTTGTAAGGGTAAATTTTTGAGTGGAAAATTTGTTCGTACACTATAATCATGAAACGTCAAGAAAACATGAAAGTAGCCAATCGTTGGATGGACCCCATTACAGCAGTTCCTTAACTTACCGTTGGGAAGTAAAAATTTGTCTAAAGGATTTAGACAGTACTTCCCTCAAATTCAGAGCAGCGAATAATTCGCCAAAATGTTGAGATGACGCTATCATTTTTTTGGGAGGGGTTTAAAAATGCAAGATTTTTGTAATTTTTGGTATTGTGTCTCCTACAATCTCCGAAGTTACTTACATATGATTATATGACATAAGAAAAATATCTGCATTATTTTCAAGTTAGAAATGCGCAACTTTAGAAATCATCCATAAATTAACTGTTTACAATGGCTAACCGCTTGCTATTTCACAAAGTAACACTTTCATAGAATTTTCAAGATAACATTGTCAAAGCATTTCTTAACATTTTCACCAAACCACCACGTGAAAATATTTCCATAAACTTTAGTTTGTCTTGGTTCGTTAAGCTTCTTACACAGGTCACACAAAACTTCTTTAGGCGACGTATCCACAACGTAGTCCTTCTTCCACTCAAAGTACTTCAAGTACTCCTCAGGGTGTGCATCCAGGTACTTAATATAATCCGTCAAATTCTTCACCGAATCAAAATCCAAAACATTGATCACTGATTTCGGTGGCGCAAAAACATCATAGTTGGCACCACCAAACACAATCGGTACTACATTCCTCTTCAAAACGTTGTACATTTTCTCCGTGACGTAGTCTTCACAAACCGAGTTTTCGAACGACAAATAAAACTTGTACTGTTTTTCCATCATGTCATAACATTCCTCTTTGTTTTTCACGGAACATTTCAATCTACCGCACGATCCGTAGACATCCACAGGTACCACTTTCTTAATCTGGTCGACAAGTTTCTCTCTGTGGCTGCGAGCGTGGCACCGAGACACGAACCAAGCGATTTTTTTCTTTCTGTTTCTAATTTCCGTAGCTGATGGTACCGTGTATCCAGTCTTCTGTTTGCGGTACAGGCCGTACCGACGGATTATATCTGAGTCCGACCGGTAGGTTATCGTCCAGTTATAAAAACCGTTGAAGTCGCGTATTGACACCGGTGTTTGATCTGGAGATTCAAGATTGGCGAAAATATACACCTGGTTAGGGTTGCGTTTTTCGGGTTTGCCGTACCGGGCTGTGGTGTAGTCTGGCGCGTGGAAAAAAAGTGCGTCGTATTGGTCTACTGGAAGGGAGTTCCTGTCGTAGGTTGCGTTGCAGTTTTTGTATTGGCAGTGTGCGAAAATTTCTTGACCGATACCTAAGTAGTAGTCCTTTTGTCGAAACAGGGGAGACCAATACAGAATTGTTTTTAAGGAATTGTTGGGTCGCCATGTTCTTGTCGGGCTGTTGACAAATATTGAAGAAATACTTTCGTACTCTAAAATTAGTACTACACTTATTGCAAATATTGCTAAATATTTAAAGTGTTGATGCATGTTGTCAATACTACGGTGTATTTAGGACTAATCGTCGTCAACTACCTGATTAGTAAAATATGTGTTGATACGTTAGAGATAAGATAATAATAATACAAATAACTGGGAACAATGTTTCAATCAAGTAATCACGGTTTACCACATTGTGACAAATACTGTCCGTTTGCTTTTTTTTGTATAGTTGGTAAATTCATCTCAAACTGTCTGTTTAATCTCTGGAAGTACCTACTTCTGTTATTTAGACAATATCTTAAAAATTGTGTAATACAAAGAACAGGACTTACGAGGACTATGATAGTCGAGGAAGACAAAAAGATGTGCAAGGATAGGGTCAAACCGGTGTGATGATAACAGTATACACACTACACAGGGTGAGTCATGAAGAGCGCGGCCCTAATTTTAAAATACAAAATGTTTATAAAAAATTCTAAAACTATTGAATTTTCAGATAGAAAATGTTTTATTACTATATTATTTTACTGTATTTTTTGTTCTCATTCTTCTAATATGTCGATGTGTCTCTCAAAAAAGTAAAAAATCGCAGCAACAAAAAACAGAATCAGTTGCAGAAAAAACATAGGGTGTTCTGTGTTTGAAAAAACTAAATAATCAATATTTCGAAACTGTAATAATCATCATTTTTTTATAAACACTCTGTATACGACAATGTTATTTCATTTATACAACAAAACGCGCGTGCCTTTATTTATGCCTCCACAAAATATTGTAACACAGATTTTAAAAATAACCCCGCTGCGATTTTTTTTGTAAACTCTTCCACTGTTAAAAAATTCAAGAAAATTGGAATAACGCGACTACGTCGCATCAGAATTTCAAAAATAGACTATGACTGTAAAGCCTAAGAACAGGTCAATCAAAATATCCAAAAATATATAGAATGTTTCATAAAAAAAAGTCTAAGGGAAAAAAACAAACAAAAATAACGCAAAGAAACAAACTTGAAAGACGATGAAAATAAGAGAGAGAGAGAGAGAGAGAGAGATAAAACAGAGAAAAATGGAGAAAATTATCCAAAAAACCCAATAGCATTCAACTGATACAAATTTAAATTGTCACCTGTACGAGATTTACCTATGTGAAATATATACGATGAGTCATAAATGCGATGTCTCAATAAATATTTGAGTTAGAAAAAATTAAAGACAAAAGTTATATGGTTCTTTAAGTATCATAATCTAAAATTATTACACATCATTTTTTTTTAATAGAACATACTTTATATTTTTACATGCGGTGTTGCCAGGTTATTCCAAATTTTTTCAAAATTTTAACAATGAAAGGGTTCCAAGAAATTGAATTTTACTATGCCGAGTGTTTAAAAAGATAATTAGAACACTACAATATTCAAATATCGATATTTCAGTTTTTCCAAATGGAACAGCCCGTGTTCTTTACTACATCTTAGTCTATTTTGTATTCTTCTTCTTCTTGTCGGTGTTTTTCTTGAAAGAGTGAAAAATCACAGAAAACGAACAGAAAAAAGACAAAAAATTAAAACTACAGTGAAACACAATAATAAAATTGAAAAAAACAGATTTCAAAATTGTAATATTTTTATTTACTTTCACAACATTTTATTTTCAAACTAGCCTTATTGTGACTCTTTTGCAAACCATTCGATTGCTAAAAAATTGCATGAAAATTGAGAATAAGTGGCAACATCATATCGAAATTAAAAAAAAAACTACGTCTTTAAAGCCTTGAAAACAGTCAGTGAGAATTTTAAAAATGATATAGAGTGTTCTAAAAAAAAAAAGTTGTGTGTTATGCCTGAAAAAAGAACACTGTATAGTTGAAAATAATTTTAGTGTAGAACCACACAACTTTGGTCTGTATTTTTTTCCTATTTTCAATATCTCATAATAATAATAATAATAATAATAATAATAATAATAATAATAAGTTTATTAAAGCTAATACATTACAAATGTTTACTCAAGTCACACACTTAGATACTAATAATAATTAAACTAATTCAAAATATATCTCAATAAAATCAAATTTCTTTAAGTTGAGAAACAACACAAAATTCATCAAGGCTAAAGAATGCCTTTCTCGCCAGAAATAATTTCATTCTTTTTTTGAAAACCTCTTTCCTCAAGCTTTTTATAACAGGTGGAAGAGCGTTATAAAATTTAACAGCAAAATAGTCTGATCCTCTTGACTTATTTATACGCGTAAAGTTAGGACGAAAGAGATCACAAGATCTTGTCATGTACATATGATCGGCAGTGTTAAATTCTGAAATATGAGAATGAATATACATTAAACAATGAAGTATATAAACGGAAGGGACGGTAAGGATCCTTAAATCTTTAAATACATGTCGACATTCTTGTCTATATCCCAGACCAGCTATGACACGTATACATTTCCTTTGAAATGAAAAGATTCTTGCAGCATGAGGAGAATGACCCCACAGAAGAATACCATAAGAAATTAGGCTACCAACACAAGAATGATACACAGTCAACAATGTTTCAAGTGCAACAACACCATGCATTTGTCTGAGAACAAAGAGATTTTTGGCAATTCTGTCTAGAATATAGTCCACATGAAAATTCCAACACAAAGTTGTGTCTAACACAATACCTAGCAACTTAATACTCTTTTTTTTGCAATCTAATGTCCTAAGAGAGCAAATCAAATTTTGGCTTTTATCTTTATTAATCACTAATTTGTTACTTAATGACCATCTAGTAAAATATTCATTAGAAACATTATCATTATTACTTAGCTTTGCAATATCATCACTGGTATTAGTAATTGTAGTATCATCTGCAAAGAGAGTTATTTTGCCAGTTGGTGCAGCTTGTGGCAAGTCATTAATATATATAAGGAAAAGTATGGGACCCAGTACTGATCCTTGTGGAACACCTTTCTTAATATACGTTGTGTCTGATTTGTCACCATTAACATAAACAAACTGACATCTTCAACGGAGGTAGGATTCAAGGAAAGTTACGGAATTTTGATCAATAGAAAGCCATTTTAACTTTGTGCATAAAATGTCGTGATCGACACGATCAAAAGCTTTAGAAAGGTCATAACAAGTAACAGAAGCATATTCTTTGGATTCAAATATATCGAAGAATGCGCATTTTGTGACTCACCCTGCTCGGGGGCCGCAAATGGAATTTTTAAAAATGTGAATCCTTCTCGGGGATCCCAATTGTATTTTTTTAAAATGTAAAACATTCTCGGGGATCCCAAATGTCTTTTTTTAAATGTAAAACCTTATCAGGGCCCCAAATGTAATTTTTAAAAATATGGAACCTTCTCGGGGATCCCAAATGTTCTTTTTTAAAAATGTAAAACCTTCTCGGGGAGCCCAAATGTCTTTTTTTATAATTTGAAACCTTCTCGGGGGTCCCAAGTGTCTTTCTTAACAATGTAAAACCTTCTCGGGGGCGCCAAGTGTTTTTTTTTTTAATGTGAGTTCTTCTCGCAGATCTCAATTGTATTTTTTTTTTAACTGTAAAACCATCTCGGGGGTCACAAATGTATTTTTTTTTAAAGTAAAACCTTCTCGGGGGCGCCAAGTGTTTTTTTTTAATGTGAATCCTTCTCGGGGATAACGATTGTATTTTTTTTAATTTTATAACCTTCTCGGTGGTCCCAAATGTATTTTTTTTTTTTAAGTAAAACCTTCTCGGGGGCGACAAATGTAATTTTTAAAAATGTGAAACCTTCTCGGGGATTCTAATAGTCTTTTTAAAATCTGCAAAATATTCTCGGAAGTCCCAACAGCCTTTTTTAACAATGTAAAACCTTCTCGGGGGACCAAGTGTTTTTTTTTTAATGTGAATCCTTCTCGGGGATCCCAATTGTATTTTTTTACGTGTAAAACCTTCTCGGGGGTCCCAAATGTATTTTTTTTTTACTGTAAAACCTTCTCGGGGGCGCCAAATGTTTTTTTTTTAAGTAAAACCTTCTCGGGGGCCACAAATGTAATAATTTTTAAAAATGTGAAACCTTCTCGGGTGTCCGAATTGTCTTTTTTAACAATGTAAAACCTTCTCCGGGGTCCCAAATATCTTTTTTAAGAATGTGAAACCTTCTCGGGGGTCCCAAATGACTTTTTTAACAATATAAAACCTTCTCGGGGGCGCCAAGTGTTTTTTTTTATGTGAATCCTTCTCGGGGATCCCAATTGTACATTTTTCAAATGTAAAACCTCGGGGGCCACAAATGTAATTTTTAAAAATGGGAAACCTTCTCGGGCGTCCCAACAGTCTTTTTTAAAAATGTAAAACCTTCTCGGGGGGCCCAAGTATCTTTTTTAAGAATGTGAAACCTTCTCGGGAGTCCTAACAGTCTTTTTTAAAATGTAGAACCTTCTCGGGGGCGCCAAATATTTTTTTTAATGTGAAACCTCGGGTGTCCCAACTGTCTTTTTTAAGAATGTAAAATCTTCTTTTTCTGTCGAAGTAACTTTGTGCGATTTTTTTTAATGAAATCTGCATGACTAAGGTAAAATCTAAGCAGAATTCATAAACCACAAGTATATAAATACGTTATTTTATAAAATTTAAATAACATTTAGCATGCAAAATTTTGATTAGCACTATGTGTTCTATGATAATCGACACAGACGACACACAAATGGAAACGGACCTAATTTTTTATACTCTAATGGTGAGGAGGTGAATTAAAAAGAAGAAAAGTGGAAAATTATATGAAATGAACTAAGACACAATGTAGATGAACACGGTCATTTCAAGAAGGAAAACAAGACAGAACACATGAATAAAATGTAACATAAAGAGAAGTAGACGGTGAAACAAACAAACTTCCGCTGAAGATTAGTGTGAAGGCGATCACATAAAACACGAAAACAGCAGAAGCAGTACTGAAAGACTAAATGAGGAAAATGTATAGAACGAGAGTGGAGGAATTGTAAGAAAGATTTTTAATAAAAAAATAATATGATGTCCAATTTGTTTTCCATAAACTTTTGATTACTCTGTTATCATATCACTAACACTTACCTCTTTAATATTATATTTATTTTACTCTTCTGGAATTCGGTGTACTTTTGACGAATTAACAACAACGCAACAAAATATAATTGTAATGCTTTTTGATTTTTTTATGTCACAATTTTTGTCATTTCTAAGACGTTCACAATTAACAATTTTAAATTATTTTCAAGATAACTTTGTCAAAGCATTTATTAATATTTTCACCAAACCACCACGTGAAAATATTTCCATAAACTTTAGTTTTCCTTGGTTCGTTGAGCTTCTTACATAGATCACACAAAACTTCTTTATGCGACGTATCCACAACGTAGTCCTTTTTCCACTCAAAGTACTTCAAGTACTCCTCAGGACGTGCATCCAAGTACTTAATATAATCCGTCAAATTCTTCACCGACTCAAAATCCAAAACATTGATCACTGATTTCGGTGGCGCAAGTACATCATAGTTGGCACCACCAAACACAATCGGTACTATATTCCTCTTCAAAACGTTGTACATTTTCTCCGTGACGTAGTCTTCACAAACCGAGTTTTCGAACGACAAATAAAACTTGTATTCTTTTTCCATCATGTCGTAACATTCGCTTTTGTTTTCCACGGAACAAGTCAAGTTACCGCACGATCCGTAGACATCCACAGGTACCACTTTCCTAATCCGCTCGACAAGATTGTCTCTTTGGCTGCTGACTTGACAGTGAGACACAAACCAGGCGATTTTTTTCTTCCTGTTTCGAATTTCCGTGGCTGGTGGTACCTTATATCCGGTGTTCTGTTTTCGGTAGACGCCGTACCGACGTACCACATCTGAGTCGGACCGATATGTCATCGTCCAGTTATAAAAATCATTATTGTAGCGTATTAGTGGAGATGTTAGATCTGGAGATTCTAGAATAGCGAAAATGTACACCTGGTTAGGGTTGCGCTTTTGTGGTTTATCGTACCGGGAGGTGTTGTAGTCGAGTCCGTGGAAAATAAGTGCATCGAATTGGTCAACCGGAAGGTGGTTCCTGTCGTAGGTTGCGTTACAGTTGTGGTATTGACAGTGTGCGAAAATTTTTTGGCCGACACCTAAGTAGTGGTCCTGTTGTTTATACATGGGGGACCAGTACAGAATTGTTTTGATGGAACTGCTGGTTCGCCATATTTTTATCGTAGTGTTCAAAAAACTTGGAGGAATATTGTTATAACCTAAAATTAGGAACACACTTAGTGCAAATATTGCAAGATATTTAAAGTATTGGTGCATGTTGACATTAATACGCTACATTTCGAACTAACCGGACGTAAAGTTCCTGATTAGTAAAATATCTGCTATTTATACGTCAGACTTCAGAGATATAATAATGCATATCTACGACTGCAAACAGTGGTTTCATAAAGTTATAAATAGGTCGGTAAATCCAGTTTAAAATGATAAAAATGCATTTTTGACGAATTTTGATTTTAATTCAAGGGTAAATTTTTGAGTTGAAAATTTTTTCGTACTTTAGGATCATGAAACGTCAAGAAAAGATGACAGTTTAGATAACGTCATCATTTTTGGGAGGGGTTAAAAAATGCAAGATTTTTGTAATTTTTGGTATTGTGTCTCCTACCATCTCCGAAGTTACTTACATATGATTATATGGCATAAGAAAAAAATCTGCATTATTTTCAAGTTAGAAATGCACCTTGTCGACAACCTTAGAAAAATATGCATAAATTAACTGTTTACAAAGGCTAACCGTTTACTATTTCACAAGGTAACACTTCTATATTATTTTCAAGATAACATTGTCAAAGCATTTGTTAATATTTTCACCAAACCACCACGTGAAAATATTTCCATAAACTTTAGTTTTTCTTGGTTCGTTAAGCTTCTTACACAGATCACACAAAACTTCTTTGTGCGACGTATCCACAACGTAGTTCTTCTTCCACTCAAAGTACTTCAAGTACTCATCAGGACGTGCATCCAAGTACTTAATATAATCCGTCAAATTCTTCACCGACTCAAAATCCAAAACATTGATCACTGACTTCGGTGGCGCAAGAACATCATAGTTAGCACCACCAAACACAATCGGTACTACATTCCTCTTCAAAACGTTGTACATTTTCTCGGTGACGTAGTCTTCACAAACCGAGTTTTCAAACGACAAATAAAACTTGTACTCTTTTTCCATCATGTCGTAACATTCGTTTTTGTTTTTCACGGGACATTTCAATTTACCGCACGATCCGTAGACATCCACAGGTACCACTTTCTTAATCTGGTCGACAAGTTTCTCTCTTTGGCTGCGAGCGTGACACCGAGACACGAACCAAGCGATTTTTTTCTTTCTGTTTCTAATTTCCGTAGCTGATGGTACCGTGTATCCAGTGTTCTGTTTGCGGTACAGGCCGTACCGACGTATTATATCTGAGTCCGATCGATAGGTTATCGTCCAGTTATAAAAACCGTTGTAGTCGCGTATTACCACCGGTGTTTGGTCTGGAGATTCAAGATTGGCAAAAATGTACACCTGGTTAGGGGTGCGTTTTTCGGGTTTGCCGTACCGGGCTGTGGTGTAGTCTGGTGCGTGGAAAATAAGTGCGTCGTATTGGTCTACTGGAAGGGAGTTCCTGTCGTAGGTTGCGTTGCAGTTTTTGTATTGGCAGTGTGCGAAAATTTCTTGACCGGTACCTAAGTAGTAGTCCTTTTGTCGAAACATGGGGGACCAATAGAGAATTGTTTTTATAGAATTGTTAGGTCGCCATATTCTTGTCGTACTGTTGACAAAAATTGAAGAAATACTTTTGTACTCTAAAATTAGTAAGACACTTATTGCAAATATTGCTAAATATTTAAAGTGTTGATACATGTTGTCAATACTACCGTGAATTTAGGACTAATCGTCGTCAGCTACCTGATTAGTAAAATATGTGTTTTTACGTTAGAGATAAGATAAATAATACAAATAACTGGGAACAATGCTTCAATCAAGTAATCACGGTTTACCACGCTGTGACAAGTACTGTCATTTTGCTTTTTTTTTTTGTATAGTTGGTAAATTCATTTCAAACTGTCTGTTCAATCTCTGGAAGTACCTACTTCTGTTCTTTAGACAATATCTTAAAAATTGTGTAACACAAAAAACAGGACTTACGAGGACTATGATAGTCGAGGAAGAGAAAAAAGTATACACACTATACAGGGTGAGTGACTAAGAGCGCGGCCCTAATTTTAAAATACAGGATGTTTATAGAAAATTCTAAAACTATTGAATATTCAAATAGAAAATGTTTTATTACTATATTATTTTACTGTATTTTTTGTTCTCATTCTTCTAATATATCGATGTGTCTCAAAAAAGTAAAAAATCGCAGCAACAAAAAACAGAATCAGTTGCAGAAAAAACTAAAATGTCAATGTTTCGAAATTGTAATAATCAAAATTTTTTTATAAACACTCTGTAGATGACAATGTCTCCAGAAAATATTGTAACACAGATTTTAAAAATAACTCCGCGATATTTTTTTGTAAACCTTTCCATTGCTAAAAAAATCAAAAAAATTGGAATAACGTGACAACGTCGCATCAGAAATTCAAAAATAGACTGTGACTGTAAAGTCTAGGAAAAGGTCGATCAAAATATCTAAAAATATATAGAATGTTCCTTTAAAAAAAATTAGTTTACATATTTTAATTCGACTCTCCTTAGGGTTTACAACTACAATTTACTTTTGAAATTACGACCCGACGTTGCCACGTTTTTCCAATTTTCTTGAATTTTTTTGGCAATGTAAGGGTTCACCAAAAAAACGTTTTTTCATTTAAACACCCTATAAAATTAGAACACTCTGTATAGATAAAAACTATATTAGAATATAGTCCTGAAGCAACCGTACAACTTTGGTCTTGGACCTTTTTGTATTTCTAATAATAATTGATGAGATATCGAGGAATGTGCGTTTAGTGACTCACCCTGTATATATAAATCATGTGTGAAACAAACCAACTCAGAGAAGTACTTTTTTTTAAGTAAATACGATTTCCATACAATCATTCCTCCCCTATTTTACCCCCTGAGGGTTAAATGTTCATTTCTAACCATAAGCCATGTTTATCGTTTCGAAAATTACGCCACTCGCAAATATTCATCCCCTATTTGCCGCCTTCAGGGGTGGAATTTCCGAAAACGTTGAAACAAATAAGTGTTTAATTTACAACCAGGAGCCTAAATATTAAATTTCAAGCTTTCACTTTGAAAATGAAAAATGGGCGATGATGAATCAATCAGTGCGTCAGAATTTATCTTTTTATAAATACAGTATAACCTCTATAATCCGAACACACGATTATCCGAACATCCAGTAATCCGAACAGAGGTTAGTTGAAGTCGATATCTCTTTAATCTGAACAAAAACGCTGCAAACCGAACTGAACTCGAAAACATGCACCTACTTGCAAAAATGACGCAAGATCTTCTTTCTATAGGTAATTTTTTGAAATTTTTAAAAATTGTGATATTTCATTGCACTGAATTAATTATCTAGTTCTGGAAAAAAGGTTAAAGTTATCGAAGAAATGAGGCTGCAAGTCACTTCTGCCCTCGAAATCTACAAGAAAAAGTATTTAGTTAAATTTCGAAAATCGTCGAAAATGCGTCGAAATTTGCTAGTACTTGTCAAATAAATAAATATACAAGCCCCTCCCACCCACCCCTTGTTTTCTTTGAAGAGTGGGTCATTTGCCAAAATCAGTCTTATTTTAACAAAAAATAGCCCCGCCCACCCACCCTTGTTTTCTTAGAGGATGTCATTTGCAAAAATCAATCTCATACTTGCGAAGAAAAGACTGATTTTAGCAGATGACATATTCTTTATTTTCTTAGTCATTGGCCAAAATGAGTCTTATTTTGGCAAATACTAGCTCCACCCCTTTGTTTTCTTAAGGGTGTAGATCATTTGCCAAAATCAGTCTTATCGTAGTGCGTACTACTAGATTCTTCAGTTTTTCGATTTTTCAACTTTCGAATTCTTGAATTTCTCGCTTTTTCAATTTTCAATTTTTTGATCTGTCTTTCGATTTTTGATTTCTCTGGACAACTGAAAAAAACTTTCGTTTTTTTAATTTTACAATTTTGGCATTTTCCGAATTCTCAATTATTTGATTTGTAAAAATATCGAGAAAATAGATGTTTTTTTTTTTTAATTTTCGAGTTTTGATTTTTTGTCACCGAGTTTTTGGAAGGAAGTAAAAAGCAATTTTCATTAGCGATTTGCCATGTTTACCGAAACTTTAAAACATCTGAAAATTTTGTTCCTAATTTTCAATTTTTCAAGATTTCGGTTCGAATAAATTTGTTCTTTTAGTTAAAAAATCGAAAAATCACAAATCGCGAAAAGGAAAAATTTTAACTTCAGAACTTGAAAAATTAAAAATCAAAAGATACAAAAATTGTGAAGTTAAAACTTGAAAAATCAAAAGATTAGAATTAAAAACTGCAATTTTTCGATATTTCAGTTTTTGATTTTCCGATTATACAGTTGCACAATTTTCCGATTTCTCATTTATCCGATTTTTCAATTTGTCATTTTTTGATTTTTAATTTTTCTTATTTTTAGCAAGTGCTGACCCCACCCACCCATGTTTAATTTTCTTAGAACAATAAGTCATCTGCCAAAATCAGTCTCATCTTGACAAGTACTAGCCCCGCCCACCCACCCTTATTTTCCTAAAGAATATGTCATTTGCAAAAATCAGCCTCATGCTTGCCAAGATAAGATTGATTTTGGCAGATGACCTACTCTTCTAAGAAAACAAGGGGTGGGTGGGTGGGGCTAGTACCTTTTCTTAGAAGAGTAGGTCATTTGTCAAAATGAGTCTTATTTTGGCAAATACTAGCCTGGCCCACCCGCCTCTTATTTTCTTAGAGGATAGGCTATTTGGCAAGTACTACCATTGTGTAAAATTTCATTTTTGAAAAAGTTGTCTAAATATTCTGAAAAAATTCAGAGATATATCCCGACGTGCTGATTCCAAAAATATAGCATGTTTATGGTAACGGAGCAATATTTTCGGAAACTTCGGTGCGAAATTCAGTTTTTTTTTAATTTTTAAAAATTGCGACATTTCAGTTGACGATTCTGGAAAAACGGTTTAAGTTATCGAAGAAATAAAGCCAGAAGTGACTTCTGCGACCCAAAATCTACATGGAAGTATTTAGTTAAATTTCGAAAATCGTCGAGAATGGGCCGAAATTTGCATGAGGGAGGTAATACGAATACATAATGAGAAATTTCATTTTTGAAAAAGTCATCTAAGAATTCTGATTGAGTTCAGAGACGTGTTGATTCCAAAAATATAGCATGGTTATGGTCACGAAGTAATATTTTTTTCGAATGTATCTTTTCGAAATTTCGAAGTTGTTATTCAATTCCCTTTCAGCTTTTTGGGAAATTCGCTGATCCGAACAAATCGCTATTCCGAACACACCTTTCCCCAATTAATTCGGATTATCGAGGCTATACTGTATATAAACCTGACTACCGCCGAAAGCAGTGGTTGGGAAAACTGTCAAACTAAAACAGCTACAAATGTCTCCAAGTTAATTACCCTGAAATGGTAATTATTCTCCGTCGGCGGGTTTACAGCACAATCTTGAAGATGTAAGCTTTGGGTTAAAATATTTCCGCCATTATTGCCCAGCTTTAGAAAATCTATTGTTGAATAAATCATTTTTATTGTGCTAAATACGTCAAATGAGCACGTTGCCTTTGTCAGGGGTCGTTAATGTCATCGTAAATTTTAATCCAGAGTCTGCAACATGATGGGACATTCCCCGCCTCGTAACAGCTTTGTTTTTATTACAAGTGGGACTAAATAAAAGCACTTTTACATAAAATCCCCAATTAATTAGAGCCCTCCTAATCCCCACCCCTGTTTAAAACAATAGTTCCGACAGAATTTTTTTCGACACCAATATTTTAATATCCCGATTAAACCCAGTTCTTTTATCGAACGAGTCCGTTTTTAACGATTTTTTTTAATTTGTCGCTCCTTACACCCACCGGTTTACTTGTATCCGATCCTGCAGGAGATGTTGGCTTTTAGGCTTTGGTCTGCGGTTTACTTTGCGTACGCTTTGAGGTCTGTGGCGGCCGTTGCCGCTGCCCCACACTGTTTGTACTGCAATATTATCATGCTTTCATGCTTGAATAAACATCAAACATGTAAAGATAAGTTCATACGTTTGCTCAGCCCGAACGTATGGAATTACTTTGCGAATCTTTCCATCATGTGCAATTAATGCTCCGGACACTTTAAAGCGACACTCTGTATACGCACGTGTCGAAAAAGTACTTTCCGTGTTGCGGTGATTGATGAAGACTTTTAGTACATCGTCATCAATCACGTAGCGTAGGTGAGGGCCCGAAATCTGGTTAACTTGCTTAGTTCGATGGCTAAATCCTGTGTATGTACATAGGATCGGGGGCGTGAAAGTTTCAATTTTTACGGGGAGGTATCATATTTCAGATGGGGGAGGGGTGGGGTTGAGACGGTGGGGGTGAAGTTTCTGGAAGATGATGTAGTGGAGGAAATTCAGTGCGGCGATTTAGCAGGGTAAAACAGTTTGATGGTGTAGTTAAGCAACGTTGTTTGAGTGTAATATAAATACAAAATTTACGGACACATAGACGGATAGACAGACAGATAGACGGAAACAGCAGAGCTCTAGGGGTCATGGATTGAAAATCGGTCTAAAGTGTATTATATTGTGCCTTGTTTTCTAAAAATGTCTAGTCATCTTTGTACAACTTAAAACATGTTTAAAATGGTAAATTTGTATACGGAAATATTGATTTTGAAATTACGCTCCGCCCCCCTCTCTGAC